AAAGGCTTTTACTAAGCGGCTTTGTTCATCAGGTCCAAAGGCAGAATCACCACCATCATGTTTGGAGCCTACTAGTAATCCATGTAAATGACAAATGGCAAATATGAGATTTTGTGAAATCAGGGTCCCAGCAGCATCATCAACTGGCTGCACATTCAGTTGAGATATAAGAGAAACGGCAATGTGGAAGAGTCTACTCGGTCCCATTAAGGAAAACGACTCAAGCACTTCAGTTTCTTTGTAACACTCAGCCACTCTGGCGAAGTACAAAGCTATAAGGCGGCACGATATGTTGCGCACCCATATGTGCGGATATAGAAGGAAGTCACAGATTGTTTCCCACGTATCCTGAAAATTTAGACAAAAGGGGAAAGAAAGAAATAAAAATAATCAATAAAAGACTGACCATGGAGGTTAAACAGAAAGAAAAGATTAATGATTCATAAAAGAGGGCAGCCCGGTGCACATTAGCGTCCCCACAAGGAGAAGGTCAGGGGAAGTTCCAGTTGTCCCATCACATGGGTGTATAAGGGGTAATCCTTCTCTTGCCAATTTGACAAGCCGCTACCAAGACTTGAACGTGTGACATTTCCATCACACAGTAACACCATGACCAGTGCGCCAAAATTAATTATTCATAGAGAGGGTTAATAAGTTGGTATTTCAGGAGAATGGCACGCGGAAAGACAAGTTGATACCTCAAGCTCTTTTGAGAAGCACAACGAAATAAATTGATGCAGAATCTTCTCTAACAAAACCAATGAATAATATACTTCTTTCCAGAGGGGAATTGCTTCATCAGATATGCACAACTGTTTATTTATTATAACATTAGCAGCAGATTGCAAGATATTTCCAATTACAGGCAAAACTTGAGCAACATGCTCCTGAAAGCTGTTCCCCATCACTTCCACCAGTAACCCCAAAACCTGAGCACAACATAATAAACACAACGTTTACATCATTAAAAAAGGAGGTCACACGCCCATGTCAAAATCCTAAAGTTTCATTATTTTCGGTATTCTTTTCTGCATGACAAGCTATAGATAAGATGACTACCTTGACATTTCTCTCCCCAAGTATAAAAGCAATGAGAAGCACCAAGTAGATGAAAATCTAACTACAGAGAAAGACCACAACAACAGTACAACACTACACGGTAACTTGGATAACAAAATACTGAGGGTGGTTTAGGTGGACCTTAACAACATTAAATGTCATGCAACCAAATATACTTCATGCAAATTTAGATTACATGTTCATTTGATTAGGTTGAACGTCATTGCCAGGCCAGGAAACTTCTAAAAGAAAGGTCCCTTATAGGGTATGGGGAGGGTGAGATGTACGCAAGTGCATACTTACCTGTTTCTCCCAGTATATACTTTAATAGAAGACATAAAAGCTAACAGATCAAGAATTACAGCGACAGTCATAGTATTAAAAATTGAAATTTCACACGAAATATCTTCACAGCACCAACAAATAACTTAACACAGGTACACAACCAAGTAACAGAAATAAGATGCTAACCAGGTAAACAATTATGTCCAATTATTTGGCATTTGAACCGCAAAAATGGTTAAGCCCGGAAATAATCAGGGAACCGCATAAACCCGCTCCGGAACCGACCAACTCAAAAAATGGGAAATGCCAACAAACCGGACAGAATTGTTGCCTACAGATATCAAACCCGTGTTGCTGCTGCTTTGCATTAGACCTGTTGACCGCTATGCTACACCTCATTCGTGGTACCAAACATTACTTTGTTTTGTATATACCTTTTATGACCCATGACCCTTTTTTTTACTCTAGGGAGGGTCTGGGGGAGGGGGGAGGGGGGAGCCTGGAGTAACCAGGGCTGAAACTCATTCCATTTAGTTTCAACCCCTTATGTGCCTAGCGGGTTTTGAACCCGAGACCTCTCGCTAGGCACGGTAACCTCACAACCAGGTGGGCTGGGATGCTTGGTTCCCATGACCCTTTTATTAAATACCAAGTATTAATTAGCTACTGAATCAATTAAATAATACATTGTGTAAAATTAATAACACGTACAAAGTACAAACTAGTTGTATTACTACACTTCCCAATAAGGTATATCAGCTTGTAAATATACTACTTCCTCCATATTTCTTTAATTTTTTTGTAATTGATGTTTTGTTCATTTTTATTATCCACATCATCTCAATTGTATCTTTAAACTTTGTTGAAACCAATATACTTTAATACATTAATTTTTTATTTTTCTCATATATTATTATTAATATTAAATTATGAGGTAACATAAATTTTCTATTTATGAATTTAATCCTTTATATAATTATAATTATAATTATAATTATAATTATAATTATATAAATATATTTACATATTTGTGTTGACCGGGTTTTCCGGTCGTTGATCGGGCTGACCCACCGGGTCCGGGTTGACCCGTGACCCAGTCATCTGTCCGGGTCACTCTCCGGTCCGGTTTTTACAACATAGAATTTATTGTGGGACACAGTGTAGGTAATTAAGGGATAGAAGTTGAATAACAAACTTAGAGAATAAACTTGAGGATATGAATAGGCTTAGGGGTAGTTACGCGCCATCACTTGGACTGCAGAAGTAGTTTGTAAAATATTGGATTCATGGTTATAGCTTTATTAATAAATGGTGGGAAAATAACTTTAAATAATACTCCCTTCGTCCCACTTTAAGGTTCCCACACGATTTACGATGTTTGACTGACCATAAAGTTAACTGATCCCTGTCATTAATAGAATTATTTTTAGTAAATAAAATTTACATATTCAGAAACTAAATTAAAACCGCTACAAAACCTGCAAAAAATAATTTAAATTTCATAAACTTTCGATATATAAAGTAAGAGATTAAGAACAATGTACGTTGACAGGAGAATAGTGTACGGGAACCTTTAAATGAGACGGAGGCAATGTTGTTAAGATCGCGATCCAAATCGCAGGATCGTACGTTTTTACGATCAGAATAGGGAGGTGCGAGCTGGATCGCTGCTGGGATCGGAAAACGCCCTAGGATCGTCGGATCGTCGAGTAAAGTCGTAACTCGTACGATTCTTCGATCTACACGAGTTGCGACTTCAAAACTAAAAAAGGGGAAGAAGTCGCGGAACCCATCGCCACTTAGGATGAACGAAGCCCAAGCGACACCTGCTGCAACGTTAATCCTCCCTGCTTCTTGCGCTTTAAATCAATCTTCCCTGCTTCGTTTTCTTCTTCTCATCTTTGTTCTCTTCTTTCGACCGCTTCGTCTCTTCGATGTACTCTGTTTTGTCCGCTTCGTCTCTTCGTTGTTCTATCTTTTCGTCCAATTTTAATTTTTTGGGACTGCTTTTTATCGGGTCTTTTGGGACTCCTCCTAATGAACTTGTTGTGTCAAATTAATATTCGTATGTTATTTTGTTGTCATATGTTTTGGAGTTTATCTTTGAAATTCTTGCCAAATGTTATTCAATTTATGTTAACTGTTGTATATAATTATATTATTAAATATAATTAAATATAATCTATATTATATAATTAAATGTTATTCAGTTTATATTTTATATAATTATGTTAAGTTGTTACGTTAACTGTTTTATATAATTATTACGTAGTAATATTAATAATTTAATATTAATCGGGAATATAAGTAGAATTGAATTGTATGTCTATATATATATATATATATATTGTATGGTAGGATCTTACGATTCGAGTTACGATCCCCGAGTTACGATCCCCTAGACCCCTTCCGATCCGTGCTAGGATCTCGAGTTTAACAACCTTGAACGGAGGGAGTATCAACTATCTTCCGTGAACGAAAAATAATACAAATTTTAGAAATAACTTTAAATAATATCAACTATTTGAAAATATTAGAAGTTAATAAGTGACCGTATTTCCAAATATCAATTATTTGATGATTTCATATTAGTTTTTTATGTCCTAAATGGCTAGATTTCTTGTCAAAAAGTGACTCTATTTTATTTTTGGTTTACATTCAGATGATTGGTATTATTAGAAGTTATTTCTAGAGTATGTATTATTCTTGGTTCATGGAAGATAGTTGGTATTATTTAAATTTATTCATCCTTAATAAATGGACTCGTAAATTGAAAAGTATACGAAATACAGTATCTATCAAAACATTGAGAACTGGTTTGATATTTGAACATGGCAACATGTAAAGATGATTAGATACTAACAATTGGATTACTGCGACCATTTGGAACCTATGATATTGCAAAACTATCATAATTTTTAGGAAAAATTGAAAATAATAATCCCAACTATTGTCGGTCCGCAGAAAATAATCCCAACTATTGATTATTTTTGTATAATCCCAACTATAGAGACTATCCGCCAATAATGGTTCATGACCATATATTACCTCTATAAAAAGTGAATTTTAAATAGAAATTAAGCGTAAAAATTAAAACTTGCGATTATTTATAGGGATTACTTGTTATATCTCATCTCATCGACTTTAGAGACTACAAAAATTTATTCATAGGGACCATTATTGGCGGAAGGTCCCTAAAGTTGGGATTATTCTGTAATAATCAATAGTTGGGATTATTATGAGCGGACCGTCAATAGTTGGGAATATTACTATCAATTTTTCCTAATTTTTATAAATAAATGAAATATACATTTTATAGTTCTTAAAATTTTATTTTGGTTTGAACATATTATGTACATTCCAAAAATAATGAATTTGAACCTCATTCATGTTGGTTCGGGTAGCTTTTGATTTTTTTCAAAATGGATCAGTTTACTACGATCACACAAGGATACTCCATACAAACTTTATCTAATGACATATTTCACAATCACAAATTAAAAATGACATTAGTGACAGCAACAGTATGTGACACCCACATTAACTGTAGTGATGCTAATAATCCTTACCTGTGCCGCAGAGCTCCATAAATGCTGTTTCCCACCCAGATACCAAGAAAAGCTAAACTCAAGAATAGACTTAAGTGAATGAGAGTTCACATGCCCTGCAAGTCGCTTTATAGCTGCACCAGCCATAGATCTGACTTTGTTATCTTGGTCATTAGCCAAGCATATTACTAGATGCATGAAAATAGTCTGAGATTGCTCATCTATTATGGTTGGGAATTTCTTTATGATAACATGAATCATTTCAAGAACAGCCTCCCTGCCAGTTGAATGTTCATATCTGCCAAGAAAGTTCTCAAATTAAACAACCATACACAGGAACATGCACAATATAAGTTGATATGAATTGTATGTAATCTTGCCTCAGATTTGCAAGTAAAAGATCAAGATGTTGTTGAAAACGTTTCTTAGAAATCTGATAGCGAAGTAAAAACTGCAGTAAAATCTGACTGCACTTCCTGCGGATTGATTCAACCTGACTAGTAACCATCAATTCTGAAACCCTCTTGACAACATCATATATTTCAGGAACCACCAACTTTCGGTTTATTATAGCTTTCAGTAGCGAGAGGGCCACAAAAGAAGGATTTCTTTCGAGATCAACAAAAACAGGGAATTGAACAAGTGATTGAAGTTGAGCTTCAGAAAGGGTCATTTTGGTCATACGCAAAAGCAGTGTTAGCAGTTTAGTGCATGATTCCATCAATGGAGTGCTGCCATTTACTGAACCTTGAGCAATATCCAACAATGAATTCTTTATATGGTCAGCCTCATTTTCAAGGGATGGCAAAGGTAGCCTCACTATTGAATATAGAGATTTTAGTGATGCAAATATGATATTTTCATATTTTGAACTTAAACAATTCCCTAAGAGCCTTACAAAAGGGTCTACCATTGATAACAACTTTTCATCCCCTTTGTCTAATTTCATGTTTCTCAGGTAGTTCTGCAGTACCCCAAGAGCAAATTCTGTAATCAAATAAGAATATTGCCTGTCAACATTGACCAATCTATTTGAATTAGTGTTTTCATCCCTCGCTGCATCTTTATCTTGTAGGCTTTCACGACCAAAATGTTCATCAGTTAGGCCATCTTTTATGAGACCATATACAAACACAAAGAGTTCCTTCTGATTCACTGATGGGTTGCATTGAATACCAGCAGCGATATGTTTCAGCATGTTCTCCAATTTTGGCTTCACTTTTGGACTCAAATGCTTCTGTAGATGTATGGTAACAGGTGAAAGTAGCTTTATGGCATGGGCTTTGAAAGTGATGTTCTGAGCAATCATCTTGAGGGTCTCGTAGGACTTCTGCTTTCTAGTCTCTTTCATTTTTGAAGCAATCTTCTCCACTTCTTTTTCTTCTGAAACATCCCCAAGAATATCATTCTCCACAACATAAAGAAGATCTTCCAAACAATAGTCCAAGTTAAGGCTAGTAGGATTTAGTAGAAATTTTGTCAATATAAAATTCAACGTGTATCCCAAAACATGCAACTCGAACCCTCTTTTCAAGGTGCCCCTCAAGACTTTAATGATAAATTGCAGGTATTCCAATCCCAGCTCTTTTAAGCAAGCTGCCAAGGCAGATCTAGCTTCATCGCGCACACTTTCCAGACGATTCTTGAGGAAGTTAGAAATACGATGTAGGATACTTGGAAGTTGCAGTTCCATGATGTCACCTGGAAGTAACTTAAGGACCTTGAGGGCAACTAAACTAATTGTTACATTGACATTTTCAGAATCAGACACCAGGAACTTTTGTACCCTAGGAAGCACATCTTTTTGAAGACAAATCTGAACCGAAGAACAGTTACCACATCTAGTATAGGTGCCTGACATTGTAGATACTTCATTACTGGTGTCAGCATCTGGAATATGTCCCATAGAACCTTCAATTTCATGAAGAGAACTTGCTTCTGAAAAGTGGAATTGGTCGAGAATGGAACAGATAAGCCGCATTAAAACCTTTTGTTTGTCCTGTTTTAGAGTCATCTCTCGAAAGCATCTAAGAAGTAATCCATAGTATGCTTTCCAGTCCAACCACTTAGATAATGATGCAAGAGCTTTTATACAAGCACTTCTTATATTTTCCCCCTTGCTGTTTTGTAAATCTAATAACATACTGAAAATGAGAGGTACAAAAACTCTGTCCACAACACCCTACAATAGTTTTTATTACATGGTGTTAGATTTCCGGAGAGAGAAAAGCATGTCTTCTCAAATTGAGAACATTCAGGTGTAAATGAACTGGGGTAGATACCTTTGAGAAACTCCCAGAATTGACAGCATTGCTGAAACGAGATAGAGCCCTAGCCCTTCTTTGCCTCTGAACAAACAAATAAGAGAACATGAAATGCGGCATCAAAGGAAAACTATGGCATGTTCTTTATCAAAAAATGAAGAAAACTATGGTTTTCCTTGTGATTCTGGAGTAGAGAGGTTATACATCAAACTTCATACTGACATCCAAGTAATCTACCATTGAAGTGAATAAATTAAAACAATAAATGTTTTCCTCATGTAGTCATGTAGCAACTCATTGATTTAGTTGAGTGTGGTGTGCGTGCACATTTTCAAATTACAGTAATGCACGCAACACATAATCACATACTCCCTCCGTCCCATTCAAAGGTTCCCATTTTCCTTTTTTGGACGTCCCACCGAAAGGTTCTCATTTTCTATTTTAGGAAACAACTTACAATCTTAAATAACAATTTAATCATCAAATATTAAAAATAATACATCTATAACATCACAGTTATCATCAATAACCCATTATATTATATACTCATCATAATTATTTCTCAAAAAATACTCGAATTAGCATATTTAATTGTTGTCTAAATAATCATGCCATTTTGCAATGGAAACCTATGAACAGAACGGAGGCAGTATATTTCTAGGACATAGAAGGGATATGGTTCCTCCAAGTAACATGAGTTACCAACCTGTAGATGAACAACATTGTTAAAAAAATCTTGTTCTGGATCTTCACTGCATAGAACAACACATGCTTTGAATTCCGTCATTGTGTGAAGCTTCAACACCATTTCACGTAGTAGATCAATCCATGCCTGAAAAAAACGCAAAATATAAATTAGCTCATAAAATACATGAAGTTGCTTAAAAGTCAAAGCTACGCATTAAGTTCCACACACCACTAGCACTTATCAAATAGACATACAGAGAAATACAAAATGAAAAATAAATGAAGGACTGGTTGATGTAAAAGTTCACCAAAAACTACAAACTGCATACCTTTCTAACTGAGCCTTCTTTGTTCATTGCATGTCCCATGTGCTTCATGAGAAAGGTGTTTATTATGTGCACAACCCAGGGTCCAGAACAAATTTGGTCAGGTTTCATTTCTAGTTCAAGGGTTTGACCAGAAAAAACGATGAAAGAGGCCAACACTCTAAATGCACTCTGTCTGAGAATCAAATCTTCAGATGACATGTCGCATACAGAATTTGACAAAATCATCAATGCATGCTCTTCTTCAGCAGTGTAGAAGAAATCTACATTCAACTTCTCATATGCAGCAACTATAGTATCATAATCAAGTTCACCCATTTCTGAGGCTGAAGTCGCATTTAGTTCATGGAGAAGTTTTGCCTGCATAAGGTGAAGTAAATGGCATTTGGTACAAAAAATGAAGAAACCATCCTCAAATGGTCAAAAAAAGGAACCAGCTATCAAAAGCCAAAACTACAGCGATAGCAAGTACAAAAGGGAAAAAAATACCAAAGCAAGTAATGTTGAATCTTTTTCAGCAAGAGCATCAAGAACTTCGAAAACAGAACCCCGGACATCGGGACCACCAGAAATAAGAAGTGGAGATATTGATTTGAGAATATTTTTGACACATCCATTCCCAAGTGGTCGGACAACATGCCTAATAATCTGCAGTGTGCCCATACATATATCTGCAATAGACATTGCCTATGGTAACAACACGAGCTAATAATAATGATAGTTTTAATCAAAATAATAGAGTGATGATGATGATGATGATAAAACAGTAGCAGCAATCATCATCATTGCCCCATGCCGCAAAGGCTCCCACCTACGGTGGGGGTAAGGGGGGGTTGGATGTACGTGGTCTTACTTCTGTACTAAAGCACAGAGAGATTGTTTCGGGATGACCCATAGTGAAAAAACAGTAGCAGCAATAATGACAAAAAATAAAACTACCTCCGGCTCTTTTTAGTTAGCCATCTTTGACTTTTCCAGTCAAATATGGCAAACTTTGATCCATTATTTTAACTAATTTATTTATCTGAAACTTAATAAATTTATACTTTTATGATAAGTAGTAGTATTTTTAACAAAGAATATTTTCATATCATTTTCAAATTATCAATATTACCGTGTATGAACATGTTATCAGCCAACTTGAAAAGTCAAAGTTGGCTAAATAAAAAGGGACGGAGGGAGAAGCAAATACAGCAATATCAAGGTGGTCGGTGCACGAACCCCCCCAAATTCTGCGCATTAGCTGATAAGCCTCATGTGGTTGAAAGAATGCATCCAAACTCATATTGTTATTATTAATCATGCATAAAATAACCTAGAAGAACAAATCTAATTGTCAAATAAAACAAAAAAGTATTAACTACGTTTAAGGTATTTTGACAAACTTATGTGCATGTTTAATCATAACACTAAAACAAAAATTGTTCAAGTACTTTTGTATAATTAGGTATTTTGGCAAACTTATGAGCATGATTAATCGCATTACAAGACTTGACACATTTTCTATCACAAGGGACTAATGCGCAGAATTTGTATATCAGAAGGGAGTTTCCTACATTAAACCACAATATCAAGAGAACTAATTGAGCTCAGTAAAAATCTCACCAGAAGTATGAGATTTCTTTGATAAAAGTGGAAGCAAAACATCAACATACTTCTTTGCTGCTAAGGGTTCATCTATGTACTTCGATAACAGCTTAAAAACATTCAGCTCATTTTCTCCTGGATATTTGGTGAATTTCCTGGAACAGCAAGAAAGTTAACTAAACCAAGAGTAAAGACATTTAACTCATCAATCTAAAAACGTTGAAATCATTTTCCTCCCATTCAAGGGTCCCAAAAAAAGTTGGTTATCTGAAATGCTTAAGCACCTACTAGGTATACATATGTCCAGTTTCTTAAAAGATGGACTTGGCACGGAACTAGGCATACCTAAGCCATCCTAATTTCATTATAGGCAATCAAGCGCCTACACTGCCCAAGTGGCCTAAACACCAGCTATATACAATATGGTGAAAGAGTGTGTATAGTAACCCTACATTTCCATGACCCAAAAGCACGACACATTACTTGAAGCAGGCGCAATCTTATCACTTCAACTATACTTCTTCACCTAATATTTAAAAAAAATGGTTTTTAGAGACACTGGTTCATAGTGTAATATATTTTCAAAAAAATTGAAACATCTCTTAGGTCATATAGTCATATTAAATGCAGATTGATTGTGTATTTGAAAATTGAGATTGGTTTATTATACTATGTTTAAATATATTTATTTTATCTAAAATGTAAATTTATCGTGTAAAAAAACCAATGCACATTTTAACACAATCACTAGTTAAAACTTAAAACTACACCATATGTGTCGATTCACGTTAGCCAACCCTAAACTCTTTCAGGATTAAGTCTTGCATTTTGTTGTTATTGTATTAATAAAAAAAATACAAGCTCTGAAAAACTCGGGAGAAAACATATTATTTATTGAAAGTCCTAATATTTTGTAAGTCTGAATTAACCTCACCTACACACTATGCTCTACAAACTGTCTGGCTCATAAACTCATAGCACCTTTAAGAGAACGGCACAGAGCATCAAGAGAATCACATTCCAACAGAGGCAATCGTTGAAAGAAAGGAGCAATTAGTCCATACCTTTTTCTGGGTCCATCGTTCACAAACAGATAATGCAAACTGGATACAAGAACATCAAGGTGAGGAAGCAGTAATTTCCTGATAGGTTTTTCCTCATCGGTCTGTTCATTATCCAGAGTCAAGAGGTTCTCAATGAACTTAAGAACATAACAAACGATAGCTTGGGATGCTGTTGTAATGGATAACATAGCAAATATATCTGGAACAAGATTCTTCTCTCTAAACAGCAATGGTACGAGTTTGTAACTTCTGCTCATTGCAAGAAAGCAAGAAAATAACGAGCTTGGTTTCTCACTACTGGCGCCTTCCTGCTTGAAACCAGCAATTAATGGTTTCACTGACTTGAAAAAGGAATCCCAGAATCTGGAGCTAAAATCATGACCTTCATACTTATTAAGAATAAAAGAAATGATCCTCAAGCACGCAGATCTCAACTCCTTGGACTTCTCTATAGATGTTTGTGTCTACATAAAAAGAACATCAATCAGGTCATGCATTACCATTGTAAATGTCCCAACTCTATAGCCATCACTACCATTGGACTATTAGAGTGTGTTGTGAAGAGTTTGTCTCACATCAATTAAGTGTTACTTAACAAACCAATATATGAAATTTCATGTTATTCCTCCAATAAGAGTGACCATTTAGGATGGAAACTCAAGTCATAGTATGTTAACCCAGTACACCCGATGAGATTTGGGATCGTAACAATAACAATCGGTCACGGCTATGTTGGTCACGGTTGGCACCTCCAGGGACCAAGCCACCACTCTGAGTGTCGGGACTAGGAAGATGGGGACGGCTTTAATACCAATTGCTACGGACCTAGCCCATACTAGGCCCGTAGCAGTGTCATAAGCCCATGTGTAGAACTCACTCCTAAAAGACCAGTGATTAGGAGGAGGGAACACCTTCCTTATAAGCCGCCGGTCAAGCCCATACTTGACCGGTGTGGGATCGTAACAATCTATGCAAAAAAAACATAGTTTAGGCAAAAATGTAAAGCCAAATAAAGTGAAGATTGTTGAAGAGTTTGTCCCACATTAGCTGAGCATGAAATAACAAATGTTTACTCCTCTTATTGAGTTGATTTTTTAGGATCCCCAAATATTAATGTAGAAAAACTAATCATATTAGTATAGTATAAACAAAAATAAGTATGGTTGGAGTTACTTTTATGTCATAATTGGTTGAATTTACTGAAGAAAAGTATTTTAGCTATTTCTTCATATAATTATTTATATTAACAAAATATATTTTAAATATAATGTTTTCTAAATTAAACAGATTCAGCCAATTCAGCCACTTCAACTAAAAATTCATAAGTTTCAGCAAATTCAGCCAATTTCAGTGTACCAAACAGACCCTTAGTAATAAGAGATTTTATATCTTGTTGATCTAATGATAGAAAAAAACTGAATGTACTTAGATATACTAAGGAGACACAAGGCTTTGAAAGGCAAAGTTGAGCCCCAAGGCGATTGGTCGTAGCCCCAAGGAGGCATAAACCTTGGGGTATAATGAGGCATAAGCCTCAAAATTAATTGTAAAAATATTATTACAACAAATAAAATAATATAGACAATTCATAATAATAGTTCAACCAAACACAATCACAAGTAAAGAGAACATAACAGAACATAACAGTAAAACGTCCCACTATCCCAGCCAAAAGAAGATAAAACAGTAAAATAACTCATGTTCTCTTATCAGAAATCAACTGTTATGTCAATATTTTATTACAGTATTACATCTATATATCCTTCTTTATTTGTATCAGTAGTTCAGTACCTCAGTACCCTACTTTGCAGGTGAGTGATGCAGTTAACTATCTTGACAGGGCATTCCAAAGCCATGCTCCTGTAAGAGCTCGGAACCTTATATACATATCTAATAACTAAATAAATCAAAGTGGAAGTTAACCGTTTTAAGTAAACTTTAATGATAAATGAATTAATCAAAATTTAAAAATTACAGCAGTTGGTCGTTCAAGTTTCAGAGAACAAAAAAGAAGAGGGAATAAGAAAACATGGATGTAAAGAAGTAAAGAGAGATATTAAGAGATTAAGAAGGGGAAGCAAGTCGTTGCTAAAGCTGATGATGGAAGACTATCCGTGCTCTGATGATGAAATAAGTTAGAAAGATTTGTATGACATCTTTAATGTTTTTATATCACAATGTATGTCTTTGATTCACAAAGTAATTTTCTTATATCTTAATGTTTTAATTGAATACATATAAATATCCTATAAATATAATATTTTAATTTGATTTACCAAGCAAAAATTTATTAATAATAAATAAGTTACAAAGATTTGTATGACATCTTTAATGTTTTTTATATCACAATGTATGTCTTTGATTCACAAAGTATTGTTCTTATATCTTAATGTTTTAATTAAATACATATAAATATCCTAAATAAATATAATGTTTTCATTTTGATTCACCAAGCTCAAATATATTAAAAATAAATAAGTTACAAAGATTTGTATGACATCTTTGATTTTTTTTATATCACAATGTATGTCTTTGATTCATAAAGTAGTGTTCTTATATCATAATGTTTTAATTAAATACATATAAATATCCTAAAAAAATAAATAAAAATTATTTAAAAAAACCGAACTGGACCAGGACCGGAACCGGCAGTTCGGAACCGCCTTGAACCGGCCCTTCAAGGTTCCGGTTCAGTTTTGAGCATTTGGTGAACCGTGAACCGCCGGTTCGGTTCCGGTTCCGGTTTGGTTCCGAACCGGGGACAGGTCTAGGCCCAGTACCTAAAAATCAGCCTAAAAATACCAACTCCATCCCACTCAACTTTGCCAAGTTGATGTTGGGTGTGAAATTAGAATAGCAAAAATTGTGCGGTTGAGGTTTGTACAGAGGAGAGAGAAATGAACAGAGCCAAAAATTGATTTCTTTAAAAGGAAAGTGATAAAAAAAATGGGACAAACAAAAAAGGAAAGTTGGCAAAGTCCATGGGGACGGAGGGAGTCATATTTTATTATATAAAAAAAGGGGGTGTACGGCTGTACGCCTTTCATTGCCTCTGCAGTTTGCACCTTGGGAATTATTGCATCTGCACCTCACCCATCTGGAGGTGTGAGCCTCGTTTCTGCCATTCAAGGCTTTAAGCCTTACATCCGTTATTCCACCGACTTTGATGCGCACACCCCGAATGCTTTTTAAAACAATGAGACAACAACCATACAAAAGAAATCCAAAACCTTCTAATGTATTCATAACCACTGTGTGCACACTATAGGTCGGCTAATGTGTGTGCTGAGGTTTGCTGATATTCAACAGCATGGGAAAGACAAAACAGCAATATTATCTGAGAGCATTAATCATAGTTGTTATTGAGGGGTTTCGCGGCGCGGCGCCTCTGGACTGCCATACTGCCATGGCGATGTGGTGCCCGTCATGGCGGCATCACGGCGATATGTCGACATAGGTACACTAATACTTTCATAATATGTTTTATATACTAAAATGCCTACATGTAACACTTATAGTCAATACTACTAATGAAGTAGTAAAACATGTAATCATAGAAATAACATAATCCATAAGACCATAACCATAGGTTTTTGTAGTTCATCAAAAATATCACAAACATTATCCACAATCCAACAAAATAAAGAAATACAAAACAGTAAAATATTAAATAGAAATAATATAAAGCAAATAACTAATACATGCTACTGGACAATGAAAAAAGAAATACAAAAAGAAGGCAGTAGTAGTAGAGGATAATTCGGGAGCAAAAAACAAGTTTAAACTCAAACGATGCCTATCCCAAAACTGAAGCAAAATAAATATCTGATGCCTATTTGCAATATACCGAAGCAAATACTCCAAAAATGTGACGACCTATGGAAAAACCTGACGGAAGAAGATGCTCGAGTCTAGATGTGGACAACGATGACCAAAGACACACCTGACGACTCGAGTATGCGTTTGGGATGGCGATGACTTTGGATGTTTGGAATCGCGAGATTTGCCAGATAGGTTAACTGGCCTTTTTTTTTATTTTGATGGGTTATTGCTAATCACTTATCAAGTTACTGGGTTTGGGCTTAGGCCTTTTGACTTATGGTGTGTCGAGCTTCTATGGCGACGATGCAGCGATGGCATAACTATGGCATTAATTAATCAATTTGATAGACACGAAGGGCGGAAGTGAAAAAGACAGCTGATTGGACGTGCAATCCTAGACCACTAACACAAACTCAATCATACTGATTTTTCATTCTCGTTCAAATTTGTATCATAAAATCGCTTTTTAAAAAATCCATCACTATAAAAACAAAATACTACTCCATATATTTACAAGTTGAATAATGGAAAAGGAGAGTGTTGAGAAATACCATAGCTTTACTGTCGACGGCATCACTGTGATTAACAACAATCAGGCTACTATCCGCGTTGTCAAGAGTTGATGTGCAGATTTCCAAAAAACATGAAACACATACCAGTAACAAATTAAGAAACGGACTAATACGTGTTTCATCAAAAACAGCCACAGTCTCCTCAATTACATGCAGAAAGCTCTTTATCTTCTTCAGATAATTTTTGTTGGTGTTTATTGAGACAAAATGCTTAAAGACGCCAAATGAGCTATATTCATCATTTAAGGATTGGGGTGCATTCCAAAGAGATTCAATGTTTCCAGCAAACCCTGCCTCTTTTCCTACAAGAGACTTTACTAACAGGGAAAAGAAAAGTGGCAACTCCTCCACGTCAAGCTGAGCTAAAAACCCAAGAATTGCCTTCCTTAGGTTTACACTTGCATGCTGTCACTCAAAATTAAAAAACTAATTATGACGCTGGTTTGAGAAATGATGAAACTGAAAGAATCTGACAACTAATCATACCTTCCGAGACGCAAGAGTTTTTAAGTTTCTCACTTTTGGAGCAAGTATGCGGATGACAATAGGCACAAGGAAACCTCTATGCTGTTCATCGATGAAATGTGAATCCCTAGACAAACTCCAAGTAGTGATCTCCTCTCTCAAATTCTTTACACTGATCACATTTTTTAGATGCTGCTCATAAGGGAGCATAAAAGTGTCTTTCCAATTCATCAAGCACTCAAGAACTTTCATCTGCAACTCAGCATCGCTCTCGTCAAGAAGCCTGGGAAACAGAACCAAGTAAAAGACATGTGAAGTTACTTTAGGCTTTTAAATTGATTGATGTTTTCATTTCTCAACAAAAGTGTAATCCAAAAAAGGTTAAAAGACAATAAAAACATTATGCGCTAATTTATGTTTTACCAACCTGTATTGTAAGACATCCTTGAGAAACTGATTGTGGTAAAATGCCTTGGGATTTCTCATTAGCCTGAATAAGTTAAGCCATTCTTTAAGGACATTCTTCCACTCTTCCCCTTTCAAATTCAGTGTGTTATATGATTCGACGCTGCATGTTAGAACAAAACAAAAGAATTGAAAATTAAGATCACTAACTTAGCTAATAAATATCATCATAGAAGAAAGATAATGCAAATTGGAAAAAGGAATCACCTCAGAAGTTCTTCAACATTATATCCAATGAATTTCAAGAACAAAGGTATTATTTGCCTAGAACGAGATTCAGCTACAGATGGAACTCTTTGTAAAGATTGAATTAATAATGAAATAACTTCTGCAGATGAAGTACTATATGACGATGAAGAGCAGTAAGAGTAGAACTGCCTAGCCAAACCTGAGAGCCATAAAGTGCATCAGAAATTATTAATAAGCTAGAGAATCTAGATAGAGGGGATCTAGGAACACAAAAATCATATTCTTTTTATCAAGGACACAACTTACCATCATCATCACCACAGGATTCAATACCTCCCTTACAAGTTTGATCATCAGGACCCAAAGCAGTAGAGATGCAGAAATCAAGGTACTTCACATATCGATCCCAAAGAATCTCAAAGTACTTTCCAAGTAAGACAGAAATGCAATCCAAAGCTGGACTTCGTAAGTCATTGAATTTGTTGTGGATGATCCCTATTACACCAAACAAAGCCGTGGGTATATAATGTTCATGTACCCTTGCAGATGATAGAGTTGTCTGTATTTTAGATACAAGTAGTACAACTTTTCTGCTGGTGGCATTTGATAGAGGCAATTCTTCAATTGACAAAAGGAGCTGAACAACCTGATAAATAGGTTTGAGAAAACAAAAGCACTTTGTAATAACAAACCAATACAAAAGTGCAAGTTTACAACAAGATAACAATATGTGAATGTGCATACATTATTGCCGCGATCATCGGCAGCACAGGTTTGATGATCATCACTTCTCCTTTTATTATCAGCATGTTCATTTGCGGAATATCCATCACACAAAGGCTCATAGTGGTTCAAGATTCTTAGAGTAGAAAGGCGGACTTCCTTGTTACAGTGGCATAAATTCTCAGAAAATATATCCAGAGCACTCGCTACTTTAGTTGCCACAAGCTCTGGATGATACTGCTCAATAGGAGTATCGGCTTGTTTTCTGTATATTCAAGCACATTTGTAAATTTTACTATATTAGTTAGAATACTAAGATGAGAACATGCACAATACTACAATGCTGCAATGATGTACAGCTTTTATGAAGGAGAAGGGGCAGTGTCATAAAAGAAGCCATAGCAACGGATGGATTGAAAAGGAGAGCAGATGACCAAATGGTATGTACGAGAAAGTAATAAAGGCATAAAAAGAGAAAAGTCATCTACAAGAAAGTAAATCCAAAAATATATCACCAAGATAGTAAAGAACAAAAAAATGAAATAAGTAAAAAAAAAAACTAAAAAGTTGAATATCTACATGAAGTTAAATCCAGCTGAAGTATTTCCATTTCCAGGAGGAGAAAAAAGACCAAAGAGCAAACGAATTTACAGGATGTTGTCATTTGTTTGTTACATAATGTAGTTTACAAGGTAGAAGCATATGCATGCATTCATTACAAAATATAGAACAATTGATAAATAAATAAATACATAAATAAATAAATAAATAAATAAATAAATAAATAAATAAATAAATATATAAATAAATAAATAAATAAATAAATAAATAAATAAATAAATAAATAAATAAATAAATAAATAAATAAATAAATAAATAAATAAATAAATAAATAAATAAATAAATAAATAAATAAATAAATAAATAAATAAATAAATAAATAAATAAATAAATAAATAAATAAATAAATAAATAAATAAATAAATAAATAAATAAATAAATAAATAAATAAATAAATAAATAAATAAATAAATAAATAAATAAATAAATAAATAAATAAATAAATAAATAAATAAATAAATAAATAAATAAATAAATAAATAAATAAATAAATAAATAAATAAATAAATAAATAAATAAATAAATAAATAAATAAATAAATAAATAAATAAATAAATAAATAAATAAATAAATAAATAAATAAATAAATAAATAAATAAATAAATAAATAAATAAATAAATAAATAAATAAATAAATAAATAAATAAATAAATAAATAAATAAATAAATAAATAAATAAATAAATAAATAAATAAATAAATAAATAAATAAATAAATAAATAAATAAATAAATAAATAAATAAATAAATAAATAAATAAATAAATAAATAAATAAATAAATAAATAAATAAATAAATAAATAAATAAATAAATAAATAAATAAATAAATAAATAAATAAATAAATAAATAAATAAATAAATAAATAGACCTGCCAAAACTTACCCATAAATAGAATCCAAAATATCAGCGACTCCCGACAATATCTGAGAACACCTATTGTGCCTTCTTGCCAGGTCTAAGAATTTACTTATTTCAGGCTCCAGAAGAGCAGCGCTTTGCATGTCTGCTAATTTAAGTAAAGAGCCCAAAGTGGCACCAATCAAGCATTGCCATGTATTTCTACATACATCTGTGAAATGCAGTTGAAACGAAAAGATCATTACAGCAAAACCAATTAATAGCCTGCTACCATGTTGAAACGATTAAAGACACAATCTGCTCATGAACAGAATGACAATGTGAACTAGGGCAACCCCTTGTAAAGCCTTGTAATAGTAGATAATGCCTAAAAGATATTGTGTACACATCACACGCAGGTTGAGGAAAAGAGAGCTTTTCACAAACTGTGGAATGCTTTCTTAGATGCACTGAAGGTATTAAGTATTAGCCGTCAAAAGAAGGTATTAAGTATTAGCCGTCAAAAGAACTTCGACAACTGATCAGTGAGCAAGCACAATTCCTAGTTATTTCCAGACATGTCCGCCTCCCACCTCCACCCCCACGGCCCCCTTCCACACACACAGAAGCAACATCACCTATAGAGTTAAAGTGAGTACAAGACACTAAGTCTCACCTGATTTCACAGTTAGAAGATCATCTATAGCAAACATCAAGTCCACAAGAAGGGAAGGATTTGCTCTGCCATCATTCATGTATGGATAGCAACCAATGATTCCCCACAGAAGTCCAACACTATTCTCTTGAAGTTCAGAAGGAAACCCCTTCTCTTTCATATCTTTGATGTGCTGAACCCAAAATACCATAGCTTTTCCAAAGAAACTACGAATTTTTGAGACTTCCTCTTTAGGTATTCCATCAAAGAAGCTCTTCCAATGTACTGGTATTCTCTCACAAAAAATGTACAGCAAATATATGAACTCATCCTCTGAAATCTCTAGTAACTCAGTTAATGCACTGAAACCAATTATAAACATTGAGATTTAATACACAGCGGAATAGTATTCTATAATTTTTCACGTGTCAAATCTAAGTATGACGAGCATTACCTCATAATGTTGGCTTGAAAACATTGGAGAATATCAGGGTCCTTTGATAGAAATTCTTTCAGAAATGTAGGCAGGCTGATGCAAAGTAAAAGTTTCAGAAACAATACACAAAGTCACAAACAAATGATGTCAAGTAATGTACACCAAATTGTGTCATTTATCAATTTTACACTCTATAATCATCATTTACAGAGCACTCTAAGCTTCAATAAGGTTAAAAGAAAAAATATCATCAAATGTTCAATTAGAATTGAAAAAAGTGCCTATATTATGAATTATCTTTGAAGGGTTGTCAAATTTAATCCATTAGGACAATACCATGAGAATCTACATATGACCATCACACACGACAGGGACTCATTAAGGACTGTCATATTTCTAAACCCTAGTTTTGCAGATTTGGTAGGTACCAAAAGAAAACAATTAAAAGTTTCCAAATTAAATTGCTTTCTTCACTTTTTTTAGAAAAAACTGATCTTTCTTCACTTTTTTATACCGAAATCTTTCAAACTCATAGCAACCATGTTACTCACCGGAGTAATGAGTCACTGAGTAATGGAGTTGCAGATTTAACTGAATTTGATATTTATAGATGTGAAAGAGTACTCGCCGACTAACTTGATTTTGTAAATCAAACCGGCTTGGTTGCTTATTCAGCTTGGTCTGTTGGTCTATGTTTGAGTAAAGTACTCGCCAATTAAATAACATAGGAAATCAAATAAACTAAAAAAAATAACATCAAGACAATACCTTTTATTCCTCAAACTAAACACAGGAGCCCACTGCAAAGAGGCACAGGTCAGATCTGAGATGTTATTCGATTTGTGAAGAGCATCAACAACACAAAGCATCAATGACAAAATTTTGTCAAAAAACTCTGTTGCCAGATCCATTGGGTGCAGGGTGGAAGATGGCACATAGTAGGTCTGTACAAGCAAACTGATTACTTCTAGAATTTGTTGATAATCTGTACGAAGTAAGCAGCCTTAGAATCACTCCAAGATATAGTGAAGCAGATAAATGGACAATGACTTTTTTTTAAAATATAGCACACCAGATAATTTTCCCACAAATTTCTTTTGAACAGTAGAAATAAGCAGGGATAAAAGCCGACAAAGATGCACAGGATGACCACTAGTAACATTGTTGGTTATCCCCTTCAATAAGCAATCCCACATCAACTTTAGTTCACTAGAGTTCATTTTCTCACATAGCCTCTGAAAAACACCAACAACAACCTCAAGAACAGTTTCTGGACCTGCACAAATAATGTAGAGTATGTAATAAAGAAAATCCAGATGTAGATATAAAACTAACATGCATGGAAACTTCTTGACTGCAAGCCTAACCAAACAGAAAATGGCCAAATGTAATTACATCCTCTTTTAGTCTATCCTAATTTACGTTATCTCCTCATCAGTTAAAAGTTTGCATCGGTGGTTAATAGCAGCCTATGCATACAAAAGCAGCGAAATTGAACCACTAAAAATATCTAGAACCATATAAGAACATAGTTTGAACTTTTGGGAGTAACTCAAACCAAAATAGAGATGTTTGCTATCTATCCATGCAAGAAACCTCAAGAGAATGAGGTTCCAGTCCAAGTCTTTACTTGGAGTTGAACACGGGACCTCTCCCTTGTGGCAGGTGGCACCCTCTTCCCACTAGGTCAGCTACGCCCCCTGGCACTTGCGCAATATTGCAGTGAGGCATAAGCAATATTGCACACGCAACAAGGCGTGTGCAATATTGCAGTGAGGAATAAGCAATATTGAACACAATAGAAGGTCAATGTGTAAGGGTATTACCGTATTATTTGTGCCCTCTCAGCAAACTAGATACTAATCATTCTGTTTTTCGAGCATTAGTCTAAAAAGATAAAATTTTAGCATGTTAGGAATTTTAATTTGATGTTAACGGTTTACAAATTTTTGCCATGTTTGAACTTTGAACATACTCCATATTACTTTGCTAGGATTATGGCTTCATTATAAATTGTTTTAATATGACGTTTGATGACTTTGATGAATAAGTTGTTTTATTTTTTATTTTGTTTGTGTGTGTGTGTCAGTGTGTGTGTGTGTGCATGTGTGTGACAGATATTAGGTGATATGGGAGTAATGTGCTGAAAAGATGAGAACGGAGTGAATGCAGTTCTGGATATGTGATAGTGACCAATCGCAATGTCATCAAGTTCCCTTCACCTTCCTTCCCAACCTCGCTCTAATTTATGTGTATCTAGTTTGAAGGAAGCTATGTACTTCCCTAAGTCCTGTATTTTTTTTTTTCCTTTTATGTTTTTGTTTTGAGTGGACAAGGAAGAGGAGTCAAATAAAAAAGAAGCATGTCCCATTAATGTATTGTAGGATATCCTTCCAAAATAAAGTTATGTTTTGACTTTCACGTTTTTGAATGATTACATAACTTTTAATGTATTATTTATGTTGTGAGCTTAATATATGTGTGTATACAACTATACATATATATAATTTACGCCTCATTGCGTTATAAGGCTTACGAAATATGCATTTTTTTAGTAAAACATGACTAAGCAATATGCAATTTCATACCCTGCCCTGAATATAATTTTCGTGGTTTATTTTGGAATAAGATTAACCAAGTAATAATCAAGTAAAAGAAAGAGAAGCTTAATGTCCCTTAAACTGTCACGGGAAATTGAGTTTCACCACTGTTTCACCGAAGAAAGCATATCTAGAGTCTGAACCCACTTCTAAATCCATGGATATCAAGCCTATTAAACATTACAATGCTGATTTTGAATAGGTCATGCTGATAATCAACTCAACCTATATGGCAGATCATGCAGAACTGATTATACAGCTTGAACAAAGTGGGATCTTTTGCAGTTCATTTCATTTCAAGCGCAAATGATTGCATGATGCAAGTATGTAAACTGCAACTATATGCACCTATTTGAGTTGCACATTCCGCAAAACAGGCTCCTAATGCAGACCACAGAGAATGCATAGTATGATGAGAAACAAATTTTGTTTAATAACAAACCAAAAGAAAAGCTCACCTCCATCGAAATGACTGTCTATGCTATATAGGGAGTTGCCAATAAGAAGGCGCAATACTTGCCCAGCCTTTGAATGAAATCTTGATGAAGTTCCTCTCATTGCATATGCTATTAAGGAACTAGTTGCGGACTTTCTCGTCAATGATGGTTTCTTCACAACTTCAGTCATTAAGTGTTGAATTCCTGACAAATTGCAGTGACACAAAATATTACATACAACACAAAGTAATGTATACTTATAAAGAATCAAGCAGGGCACAAGTCACAGGAAATTATCATCATGCTAAAATATGGCATCCTCAGTTCCTCATTCCAGACAAATGCGAGCAAGACTAAATAACTAAATATTGGTGCAACCAAATAGGGGTTTGTATATTTATTATACACCGATAAATGTACATCCATTCAATCATTTCCAGTGGAGCCAAAGACTCACTTTTTTGGGCTTGGGAATATTATGGGATAAAACAAAATGGCTCACTAAACCGTCGACGCTTCTTTGTTATAAAGCAACAATCAGTGCATGCAATTTTCGACGCAATTTCCGTCATGGGTCATCTGGAAACACTCTGTACTTTAGTACGAGGGTAAAAGGTTATGTACATCACACCCTACCTCCCCTGCCCCACTGTAGGTGGGAGCCTTTGTGGCACGGGTGTAATGTTGTTGTTGTTGTACTCATAATTGTAAATCCAACATATACAAATGACATTGTTTAGAAGGAAAATGAGCAACATTCAGATGCATATTGTGAAAATATTTTATTTATTTCTTTTTTGCTAGATATATATTTACAATTCGTATTACTATATTACGAAATTTGAGTTCTTATGTACTAAAATTAAATTACATGTATTATTCATATTATTCAGAAACTTGCTTTTGATATGAGAATTCCACTTCCTGTGCATCGCACACGGGTATAATACTAGTCAGTGAGGAGAAAAGAGAAGAGGCGCGGGAGAAGGGCTTAAGTAAGCGGATGTTTGCTAGGTTATACTGTATTGCTCCGTATAGTTATGTACTTATGTGTATGTGCCAGCCGCCTTTTTGTTCTGCGGTTGGCTTGAGTGACTCTCTTTTTTGTTTCTTTTTATTCGAAAAAAAAAAGAATAATAAATTATCCGAAATGAAATGTGCAATATAAAGTTATGTTTTGGAAACATTTTTGTGTTTTGTATTGTACACACTTCAATTTAGATTCAAATTCATCTAATACGCATTTCAATTTTATCAAATGCATAATTCAGCTTCACATTTCTAAAAAAAAAAACAGTTTCACATAATACAATCTGATGATTCACGTTCATTCTCATTTTTCTCGTGTGAGTCATTTCTCACCATAAAAGCTCTGATACATCTACAAACTTATAATAATGCTCTAATAGTGATTAGAACATTATAGGAATAATAAAAATATAATAAAAATGTTGGTGTAACACTAAAGCAATTTACATTTGTATAATTTGTTCAAGTCATTGTATCATACTAGTTCCGTCCCACTATGTTTGGGACAAGGGGTGTGGCACAACTTCTAAGAAAAAGTGGAATTGTGTGGTTGATATTAAATTGATAACGTGTGAATAAAGTAAGAATGAATTGTAACCACCCAAGTATTATCAAATATGGTATGAGACAAACTTAATGGGACAGATGACGTGCACTTTGTCGTGGTGTGCACTCAAAATAATAATACAAAACAACAATTATATGTAGTATAATGAAGTAAGGTTCGTATCCACAGGGAAAGGAATACATCTCTTTTTATATAACTAGTAACAAGGGGGGTTTAGATTTGTAGTTGAAGAACTTTAAGAATTTTTAAACACAAAGATGAACGACTTATGTGGTTTAATTAATAATAGATGAAGGCTTGGTTTTGCTTTTATCCACTTAATGATATGTTCGTCGATCCCGGTTATATCTTTAACTATCTTCCTCTCGAATACTCAATCGAGGAGTATATCCAGTTCATCGAGTGTAGTTATTAATAACGAGACGTGTTCATTAATAAAACTTACTACCGAATTAATATAGAACACGCGCCGTATATTAACCCGATAGGAGCAATAAAGTCAAGATGAAAACGATTGAGATTGACAACCTCAACACAAACGGTTTATTGGTTTAATCAACATAATTAATTCCCCTTGGTTTATTAACCATGAAACGCATGCATTTATAACCCAAGTTTACTACCGTGAAACGATCGAACGATTAACAAGTGTATTCGTCGATCGATTCTAGTAATAATTAATATATGAAACAAAATTACTTGATCCTTTAAGTAATGTTCAAAATATTAATATGAAATATGAATAGGAATTAATTAATACTCAATGAAGAATATTAAAGAAGATGAATCCTACTATAGTTAATATCAAGATGTTAACTAATTGTCATCTTAGTAACACTCCTCAACATTAACATAGAGGAAGAAATAACAATTATTATAACTAATGTCAAGATGTTAACTAATTGTCATCTTAGTAGCACTCCCAAACATTGATATAGAAATAGTATTTAAAGGAAGAATTAATATTCAAGGAAGAAGATTAAAGAGAATAACTCACAACTTACAAATTCATTAAGCTTCAAAGTAGCAAAACCAAGATGGAAGAGTTTAGCTCCTCATTTGGAGACTAAACATGATGAAAAATATAAAGAAAATACTTGTCTAAACTGAGCTAAGAAGTATATGTGAATTGGTGGTTTTTATGTGAAGGAAATGGGGTGTATTTATAGCAAAATGGAAGTGGCAGGGTGTTGTACTCGATCGAGTATTGGAGATACTCGACCGAGTACAAGAGGTAGTTTCCAGGAAATTGCAAAATGTAGGTATACTCGACCGAGTATTGAGTGATACTCGGTAGAGTATGACAGGATCTTCATCAAATATTCAGCCACGTTCTTTTGCTCCCAGATTTGATTTTGACTAGCGTATCAGGTCAATACTCGACCGAGTATTGGCAATACTCGACCGAGTACTGAACAAATATCAAAATCTTCATTTGATCTTCTCCCTTTTGCACATTCTTTGGTCTTTAGGATCCATCCTTTGATTCTTGGGATGATTTTGATCTGTCCTAAACTCAGAATAATCCTAATCTAAATAAATTACAAATAATTTCACAACCTAAAGTATTACACCAAAAGTGTGTAATTTCCACAACTAGAACTAATAAAACTAGTTAAAAATATAAACATACGTAATAGGAAATTAACCCTATCAACGGACGAAAAAGGTAAAACGGGACAAAGTTAGGGAGGCGGAGGGAGTACATCATAGTCTTTGTGTCTCCTGACTCCTCCCTATCTCCGTTATAACTCAACCGTTTAGTTCCCAACATTGTATATATGATCTTGGCATTTTAATTATTCAAAATTGCTATGGGTACCCCAAGTATACCTCAAATGGTACCCCATATAAAAACCATTCCAAAAATTTACCCCCCCCCCCCCCTCCATTCCCCCACATGCGGCCAGACTCTCCCCCTCACCAATTCTCCCACCCCCCACCTTTTCCCTTCCCTGCCTTTCGACAAACTCCCCGCTCCCCCCTCCCATCGTCACCGACCTCAAGCCCTCCCAACTCGTCCGCCACAACCGCCGTCCTCACCCCCACGAATCGTTCGAAATCAACCGCGAGGACCCATCGACGAACCAACCGGAAACCTCGTCGCAAAGCTTCCCTCATCTCGAAAGAGTTCAGAAACCCAAGGAAGGAATCACCCTCTTGAACTGTTGACCACCGTCGACGAACCGCCCTCCTCAAGCTTAACAGAAATGGCTGAAAGGTATGTACTTTTTTTCATATTTTTTAAATTTATATTATCTTGGTGTGAATAGAGTTGTAATTTTGGTGCTGTTTTTCATTGTGTTTGTCTGACCACTTTGAACTTGTCTTTGCATCGTTGTTTTGGTTGTGTGTCACTTCGTTTTGAATTCTTGAAAGTTGTCTATGATGTCATTATAATGGTCTGGCCAGGCGAATGAGATGTCTGTCATTTGAAATGAATTGTCTGGCAAGCCATTTCTAGTTATTTATCATGTGAACATAGTTGTCTGGCAAACCATTAAAATTTTCTGAATCCTCATTTTGATATAGAGTTGTTGTGCATGTGATATGGAATTGCTTATATTGTTGTGTAGTTGCCTGTCCAATTAACATACTTGTCTGTCAAGTGATATAAAATGTATGTCCTTCCTTCTGAGTTGTCTAAAATGTTTGATTTGTATTTGTGTTAATTATACAAGGCATTCAAACTACAAATTCCAGTTCGCAAGCACTTTCGAGCTCAGTATTCTGTGTGCTCATATTTCAAAGAGGCTGTAAGTTTGGTCAAAGCTGCGTTGACAAAGGATCAAGTGGAAGAGTTTAAGAATTTGCCATGGGGCCACCTAATATCCGTGTCAGACATGCAATTTTCTGGCCAAATCGTCCATTCTCTTCTGATGAGGCTAGTCAAGGACCAACCTGAAGACGAGCCATGGTTCTTTATTCAAGGGAGGTTGCTGAAGTTTACGTATGCTGATTTCTGCCGCATATCCGGTCTCAAACCATCAAAGGAAAAGTACTGTCTTCAGTGATGATGATGAAGTGCAAGGGACGCTAATTGACAAGTACTTTCGTGGATCCACAAACATTACGTACAAAACGTTAAAGGACAAGTTGAACTCATTTAGGCGTACAAAAAGAGGAGATCTTGTGAAGCTAGTGTCCGTTTGTTACGTTTTGACTGTTTTACTTGCAAGGGACAACAAAACAAAGATAAATTTGGAGTATGTTAAGTGGGCGGATGAGTTTGAGAAGTTTAAACTGTATCCATGGGGTGTTGAGTCCTATAACACCGTGCTTGAAAACATGAAAAGTATCATGAAAGAGCAGCCCACCAGATTTAGGAACACCAAGGCTACCTGTGCTAAGTTCACTTTATATGGATGTCCTCATAATGCATCACTTTTAAACCGAAATACCATAATAGAACCATACGTGTTCCCTGCATCACTTTTACACAATTACAATAATATATTAATATAAATTATTGTTATATATATGTGTGTGTATATGTTTAATTAATTCACCTCATTTTACTTCACATTACAAAATACAACCATGTTTCCAAACAAAACCACACATTTAAAATACTTACTCAAGTAAGATAATCAAACGTGCAGTAGAACAC